TAGAGGGCACAGGGCAGGCGGAGGGCCCACCCCCCCCCCCCCCCCGAGTGCACAAATTTTTGTGCACTGGGCCTTTAGTCTATAATAATAAAAGCATAATATATTCATTAGACCAGACTTCCTTCTGGACAACCTTCCAGATGAAGCTGTGGCAGGCGGGGGCCAAGGCAGAGGCAGGAGCCAAGCCCCTTGCACGAATTTCGTGTACCGGGTCTCTAGTGTGATAATATAGGCGTAATTTATAGCATTATTTGAATACAAATCAAATTTTTTAATACTCTAGCCATTTTTAAAGTTTATTATAAAATTCTCATGTGTAATAATACTAAATATTATGTAATTCATTTCCTCTTTTCATCTTGCATAACAAAAGGTGTAAATTCATCTGTTGGAAGACCAACAATTGGAACAAATCCTGGAAATGTTCATCTGGACAGAAGTAAAAATGAAAAAGTAGAAAGAAAATCCAGTAGTGAGACAGGAAATAAAAGCTCAAAAAGGAAACAGGTGCATTTAGATGATGAAAACATTCTCTGTGATAATGGAAATGAACCACCCCAATATAAAAATGTTAAGATACCTAAGACATCAAATGATATGCAGAATAAATTGGATGGCAAACTAGCCAGAATAGCAAAAAGCAACAAGTGTGCTGCCAAGGACAAATTGATTACTGGCCAGACAAAGTTAACTCAGTTTTTTAGACTATGAATTTGTCTTTTATGTACTTTAGATTCATGTATGTATAAAACCATTCACCAAAGGCATGTACTTAATTTTTAAGAGATCAAGGTGTAAATTATGATGCTTTATTGTTATTTTTAAAATTATTTATTGTTTAAAGTATTACATATGTCTCCTTTTCCCCTCATTGACCTCTCCCCAGATATTCCCACCCTCTAGCCCATGCCCTCACCCTGCTAGAGTCTATGTCCATTGGTTATGCTTACATGCATGCATACAAGTCCTTTGGCTGATCTCTTACCCACTCCCCCCTCTCCTGCCTTCTCTCTGAGGTTTGACAGTTGGTCTGTTCATGATGCTTTATTATTTTGGTTTAGTAGACTCTAGAGCATATGTAAGGTTAGTGTGTTAAGCATGTTTAAAAAATACAACTAAGTCATAATTATGCAGAATATTCACAAAGTTTAATGTACAAATAAAGCATATCATTTAGGTTAATGATATCTCTTTATACTGCTTTCTTTTAAAACAGACATTTAAAATAATATAAGTCATAGTAACATTAAGGGCTTTTCCCCCCCGACAGGCAATTAAATGATTTTGTTTTCTTCTGAAAAGATCATGTGGGCCAACAGGTATCAGACTTGCCAACACGGTCGATAGACTCTTCCCAGCATACACCTGATCACTGAAAGAAAAAAATAAAGGCTTTAAATTGCTTAAAGGACTATTATTATCACACAAAATTTATTAGAAATGAAAACAATGGATCTAATATAGCTAATTTGGAGTAAATCAAAATTATAATAACTAATTAAATGCTTTTTAGTTCCACATATTTGGCAGGGATCACTTAATAGAAAAAAGTGTGATTGAACTATGGTCTTATTTAATTTTGTTATGATTGGATCCAAATTCAGTTAAACTCAGAGTTCTATTTTATGGTACTAAGACTTAAATAATTGAATTTTAAAGGACTACTCACTGTCAAAATCTCTCCTTCCTATAGGAAATTTAGCTGAGTTTTCTTCATCCCCAGTTTCTCTCTTTTCTTGTGTTGATTCAATATTCTGAACTCCATTCTCAGCTGGAAAAGCTACAGATCCTTTTGGTGCAAGATCAGGTTTTATAGCCAGATTCAGTGGCAGACCATGATTCAAGAAATTATGTTTGGAGCCTGCGTTCTGTAAAGAAAAGATTGATTTGCATTTTTGCTGTCTTATTTGGAATGGTAATATAATACAGTTGCATGATATTCTTATTGATCAATTCAAAGATGACTGTTTTGACTTTTTAAAAATATCTTAGATATTTTTAAATGATGAGTTGTTGTACAGGATGAAAGAACAACCTGGTATGTATGAAATTTAATCAGTCATCCTAATGCATATTGTGGCTATTTGCATATATTTCTGTTTATGAAAGTATCAACTTTACTTTCAAAGCATCCATAAAAATCATTCAAATAGTCATTAAAATAAAGGACAAGTCAGATTGCCACTTACCCTTGAATTTTTGTTTTCCTCATCATCCATGAAACCGCTCTCATCATTTTTATATTGTGCCAGGGAAGGAGCAATGACTGATTTTTCTGCAGTATCTTCCTTCTGAAAGGCTTTCCCCAGCCTAAATGTGTTAAATACCATGTCATCTTCTAAATTTCTCATGGACTTGGATGCTGAAAGTAAAATGGCTTGAGAAAGCAAAGAAAAAGTTAGTATTAATGTGTAGGAGGAGAGACTCATTTTTGCCATTCTTAGTTCGATGTTTGCATGGAGTCAAAGATGTGTAAAATGGAGAAAATTTTCTCCACCTGCTTCGTGAATGATTCCTACCTTTATATATATTTCCAGCCTCAATGGAAAGCACTTCAAAGACAGACTTTCATCACTTCAAAAGTGACTCATCAGGTAGAGCTAACCTTTTGTTTAGCCGCTAATACCTACATTGTTTGGGTTTTAGTGGCATATTGTTTTGTTTTGAGTGGGAATTTTCTCAGAATCTGATTAAGATCCTTGGTAGAATGCTCTCTGTTGAGCAGATTATGGTCTCTTGAAAATGGGTGGTAATTAAGGAAGACCACAGGACATCAGGCTCTCCATATTCTTAGTGTTTGCTTCTGTTTATTTTCTGTTTAAGATATTAAAACCAAAGTTATTTCGCTCAATGATGATAAGGATAAAAGTTTTATTTACTTTTAATCCTGATTAAGTTGAAATAATCTTCAAAAAGGACTTTCTTTCATAAATGCTTGATATAGTAGTCTTTGATGATTAAAGTGTATATACCTCTCAGTATGAACAAAATCATTCATGCTGTACCTAAAATTGACCTGTCAGGTGTGTTTTATCTCTGCATTTACAAAAGGATATTACTGATATTTACCAATGAATTTAGCAATTAAAGAATAAGCAGTTCATGAAGAGAATACTTATGTGTTCCTTAAATATTAATGTTGGATGATGAATGTATTGTATGATTTTTAATTAAACATTTCAGAGTTAATTTCTAATTTTGACCACAATGTGTTAGAGAATATATTCTTGTATATGTCTTCTGGCACATATGAGCAAGCATTTTTCTAGGGTGTATTTCTAGGCATTAAATTGCCAGATCATGGAGTATGTGCATGTTCAGCTTTACTGATGCCAAGTGTTTACAGAAGAGTAGCAACCAATTTAAGCTTCCACCAGCAGGCTATGCGAGTTCGCATCACTCCACATCCTCGCCAATACTTGGGTATCTTATTCTCCTTTTAATTTGTATTTTCCTAATTACCAAAAAGGTTGAGTATTTTTTTGTATGTTTATGAACCATTTATCTTTTCTCTTACATAAAATAATTTTGGAAAAAAAAATACTTGTCCATTTTCTGTTGAGTGCTTTGTCTTTTTCTTATTGATTCATGGGAGTTCTTTATGTAGATATCCTGGATATTAATTCTTTGTTAGTTACATGTACTCTGAGATCATTAACATTTTTATATATTCTAAAAGTTTCAATGCTTTTACTTTCACATTTAAATTCTTAATTTATCTAGAATAATGTGTATGACACGGGATATATAATTTTACTTTTTCTAAAAGTCCTTATACATTTCTTAAATAATTCATCCTGTTCCCACTAATCTGTAATGTCAGCTCTGCAGTACATCAAGCTTTTATGCACGAGTGGGTCTCTTTCAGAACTCTTTATTCCACTGCCAAATCTAGTCTTAATAATCAAAACTTTAAAATAGTTTTTGATATCTGGTAGGGCAAGTTTCTAAGCCCCCTAGTCACCCATCAGTTTTTCTTCTACAGCAGTTCTTTGGCTATTGTGCATTTCGTTTCTATACAAATCTTCATATCGGCTTTTCAAGTTCTGTGAGAAACCTTGATGGGATTATGAAGGGAATTGCATTGTTTCCGAAATTGATTTTAGAGGGGAATTAACACCCTTAAGATAATTTTCTTATCCATGAACTTGGTACTTTTCCATATTTATTTAGATCTTTATTAACCTTTTAATAAGATTTTTCTTGTTTTATTCATAAAGGTTATATATCTTTTGAAATAATTCTAATTCTTTTTTAAAAATATATTTTATTGATTTCAGAGAGGGGGAAAGGAACAGGAAGGGAAAGGAAGAGGGAGATAGAAACTTCAATGATGAGAGAGAATCATTGATCAGCTGCCTCCTGCACTCCCCCTACAGGGAATTGAGCCCACAACCCAGGCCTGTGCCCTTGACTGGACTCGAATCTGCGACTCTTCAGTCCACAGGCCGACATTCTGTCTACTGAGTCAAACAGGCTAGGGCGAATTCTAATTCTTTATAATTTAATTATAATTAAACTTTTTATTTTCAGTTATTATAAGTGGTATCTTGGAAAAGTTTACCCTTTTCTAACATAATTGCTGATTTGTACACATGTAGTTGATTTTTGTGTAGTGCTCTTTTTTTTTATTAGTCTGTACAAGTTGGTTCTAATAAAATATTGACTACTTGTTACATTCAATTACCAAGATTTTCATTGCAGCAGTATTTTCCCACACACATCAAAATTTGTAAGCAATATGTCTTTCTCAAATTGTCATTTAGTGTTTTTTATCCCAACCCTCAAAACACAGACATAGGTTTTTGAATATCAATAAGCCATTTATGGAAGTCATAAGATACAGCTATTAATAAACATTACACAGGCTACAATGGACAAACACCACTAACATTTATGGTAAAAGGTCTTGGTTTAAAAGTGTAAGTACTAACATGAGCCACATAAACACACTATTTGTGTCTTTCCAAAACCAAAATGGGGAAAACCTTATTGCCATTCTGCCAAACACCACATAACTAAAAAGGCTGCATTAAGGGTCGTGAATCCAATGTACATGTCACAGAATTAAAACTCCAGTTAAACACCTGCACTACTCATTGAAGTAAATTAAAAAGTAAGATCAAGCTTCTTTAACATATCAATGCTATTTTAGAAGCATCATCAGAACACAGATTTAATTATAAATTGGCCTGGACTGTATCCTATAAAAAGAATTTTGCTTAGTACCAAAAGAGAATCTATCAGCAAACATCCTAGGAAAGCTGTGGAATCATGTTCTTTGTTATTCTTGAAGAAACTCACCAGGTTGGATATCTGTAATCTCCCAGGGGTTCTGGGAGCTCTACATACCAATTAATTAATTAAGAAATTGATAGTATTTAAGCAAAAAGAAGACCAAAAGTAGACCTTATTCTCACATATATTAGATAAGTGGATTTTTAAAAATCACATGATAAATGTAAATCATAAAACCAAGTGTACTTGTAAAGGTGCACCAATTTTACGTTACGTAAAAAACTAGACTGCAAACTGCATGCTTACCATAACATTTTACCTGGGAAAGCCTATGAGAGATTTCTTGTAAATATTTATGTCATGATACAAAACAACATGCAAACTGCAAGGTCCCTAAAATAGCAGTTAAAAAGCTTATATACAGAAAGATGTCACTATCTGATCAAATGTGGCATTTCCTAGAGTTTATGGCACAGAACAGTAACCTCCACAGGCTCATCCTCCCTGGCCTTCTTCCTTGTGTGACAGTTTGACTCCCTTATTCTGGTTCTCACTTTCCCACAGTCCAGTTTATCAGTTTTGTTAGCCTTTCTAACAACTAACTTTTGGCTTTGTTGTTCTTCACTATATAATTTTTCTATTTCACTAATTTTTGCTTTGTATTATTTAATGTTCTTCACTATATAATTTTTCTATTTCACTAATTTTTGCTTTGTATTATTTCTTTAATTTTTTTGAGGTTTATTTTGCTCTTTTTCTAATTAAAATTGGAGAGACACCTCATTAATATTTAGACTTTGAAAAATTAGCATTTAAGGCAACAGGTTTCTCTATGCATCATTTTTGCTAGTTCTCACAATTTTAATAGGTAGAATAGTCACTGTTTAGTTCTGAGTTTTATAATTTTCATTATTATTTTCTCTTTGACCCATCAATTACTTAATTTAATCTCTTATATTTTTTGTTTTTAAAAGTTCTCATTGGTTCTTTTTCAGATCTGTCTGGTCAATTACAGTTTTCTATTTTTTTCATTCAACACATTTTTAATCTTTTGTTTTAAATCTATAAAACATTTTCAGATCTGTCTGGTCAATTACAGTTTTCTATTTTTTTTCATTTAACACATTTTTAATCTTTTGTTTTAAATCTATAAGACATTTATTTTTAAACATTTATTTTATATTTGTATTTGATTGTTCAGTATCTGCTGACTTTGCCAATCTGATTCTGCAGTTTGTTATTTCTGCTGATCTTAGCTCATGGTGTCTTCATCATGTGTTCAGCGAATTTTTATTTTGTATGTATATTTAGTAAACTGTATCTAAAGGAATTCTTGAAATTCCTGTGTTTGCTTCTGTCAGGCACTGGGAGCAAGACCACTCCAGGGCAACTTTAAATTAAAATTAGAGCTTGAGGCTTTTCAGGCCACAGTCAGTGCAAATACCAAAGTTGGTGAGTATGCCTTTGTCATTAGGAATTCTCAGGACAATATATACCTTTTTCTCCCCACTTGCCCCCTTCTTTCCAGAGCCATTCATTCCAACTTAGGCATGTTTCCTTCCACTTCCTGGATTTTTTTCTAGTTCCTTGGGGCGGGGGGCAGGGGGGAGGGTTCCCAGCATTATGTGAGAGTTTCTGACCTGATCCCTCATTTCACATGCTTTACCTTTTGTCCCTGTACAAGTGGGTCATTAAAACCAGGCACTAGGTCACCAGGAATTCATAGAATCTCTCAGAGCACATGCTCGTTCTAACCCTTGTTAAACCCTGTGAAATATCCTATTTTCTCTTTTCTAGCCTCCAATGGTTTTCTTTATTTTACCACCAATTCAGCCGTACTCTCTATAAAAGATGTTTTCATCTAGCATTTTAAAGTGCTGTTTACCAAGAGGTGTTCTCTGTACAACTAGTTGGCCATGTTGCTGGGAATGGACATTTTAATTCATTCTTTAGGGAAAATTCTCTCTGTAAGGGAGTTTGACTCCATTTGCACAAAATATATCTGTATTGAATGTTAAGTTATTTCCTGTAAAAATTATATAGGGCTATTTTTTAAGTTCTGAAATGGCAGGTTAATATTCTGAAAGAATTCTTCAGAGATGGGCATAGTTAGCAATAGATTCTCTTGGGGACTGTTTAAATCTTACTTGGCATATGTTTTTTGTGAATGTACTTATAAGACTTTGAAATTCTCTGACATTTTTGTTCTTTGGGCTTTTTAAAAACTTTTTAATGTTAGTTGTGCCCTGTTTTTTACCCCAGGGTTTCAACCTGTTTTGGAGGTGGCCTTTTAATCTACAAAAGTCCTTGTCAGTAGCGACTTTTTTTCTTAGCTGCTGGTGTGAAACTATAATAAATATCAATAATTGTGTATTTTGTTTTAAATTTCTACTGGGTGAATTGTTTTGGCTGATCTTCACACAAAATTTGGACCAAATCCAAATCATTTTGACAGTTTAGAAAAGTTGGTTAATGTTTTCTTTTATATTGCTTAAATTGTTATAGACTCTGAATATTATGAGGTTTTCCCATAATCATTTAATTATGGAGATAGTTTCCAGTTTTTTTTAAATGATACTTTTTAAAAAAATGTTGGTTACTCTGATGTGCAATGGAGCATAGATTTACTTTTCATTGATGCTGAAAATTGTGTCCCCAAGTGGTAGGAAGGAACTTTGAAGAAGAAAAACTATTGCCAGATGGGCTTGGGTGGTTCAGAAAACCTTGGAAAGGCAAAAGGTTTATATGAAATGTGACTTCCATTTTCTGAAGACCTACTACTAACATCTTATATTTGTAAATAACTTGACTGAAATTATCTTTCCTCCAATGAACATATCTTTGACCATGTGATAACATATCTTTGGCCAAGTAAATTTATGCAAATCAAATACTATTGGTCATTGTTTTCCTGAGAACCCTGAATTTTAACCCATTGTCCACCATAAGCATCTGTAGACACAAGCAGTGGACCTTCCCCACATGCCACTTGCATCTATAAAAAAAAAAAAATGTTTTCCCTAAATGGCAGCCCTGACCACTTTAAAATTCATTTTTCATGAGACTTTTCAGCTGAAAATATTCAAGAACACCCAAATTGTGAGTATTATATTTATTTTTATAATATTCATTGCAAATTGATTTTTTAAAATTAAATTCAAAATATCGTGGTGTGTGGGGATGGTTTCCATTTTGGATGCATGGCAGTTTGCCGGGGCTGACTGGCAGACCCTGAACGATGGATGAATGGTTATTCTGACACATGTTTCTGTGAAAGAGAAGCTAAGGGGTTAGTTGGCATAAGGAGCCAAAAAGACCCAGATTGCCTGCCTGCTTAGGTTTTTATTGTAACAACAGCTTGAACTAAAATGAACCTCTAGATACAATCCGCAGGGTAAGCATCCTTGAGAAAACACATGCATCCTTTAAGCAAGACTAAACATAAAGATTCTAGTAAATTTCCTTTTCCAAATTACTTTGTGCTTGTTTATTTTGTAGCAACTTATTACAGCACATGTTTTTCGATTTCAGCATTTATGGCATGAATAAAAATTGATGATCCATACACACACACACAAAAGATTCTAGTAAAACACCTGGGGGTTCAGACTTGTTTGGAAAAGTCAAGGTAGAGGCTGCTGCCTTTGGCAAGGTCACCCTAGAAGCCCCCGGCCTTTCAGAGAATCCTCCTTACAGACATTCCAACCAAGTCCTGTGCTTGCCCACAGCAGTTAACTGGATAAATGGATAATTTTATGAGCCTAAAAGCTGAAATTGCTTACTTATATTATCAAAAGATATGAGAAAATTTAGAATTCCTTCCCAAATGTATGCAGCAAATAATCTATATACCTTCACCTAGATTCTACCTTTCATATTTTTCTACCCTTTTTTTTATTATTTATTACTAGAGGCCCGGTGCACAAAAATTTGTGCACTTGGGGGGCAGGGGAGGGGGGGGTTCCCCAGCCCGGCCTGTGCCCTCTCGCAGTCTGGGACCCCTCGGGAGATAACGACCTGCTGGCTTAGGCCTGCTTCCGGGTGGCAGAGGGCAGGCCTAATTCCTAAGTGCAGCCCCTGGTCAGGCTCAGAGCAGGGCCGATTGGGGAGTTGGGGCGCCGCCCCGTCATGCACAGAGCAGGGCGGATCGGGAGGTTGCGATGCCACCCTCACTCACGCTCAGGGTAGGGCCGATTGGGGGGTTGGGGCAGCTGATCCTGGTGCCGGGAGCCTCGCTGCTCCGCTGATCCCGGTGCTGGGAGGCCTATTACCCTTTTACTATATAGGATAGAGGCCTGGTGCATGGGTAGGGGCTGGCTGGTTTGCCCTGAAGGGTGTCCTGGATCAGGGTGGGGTCCCCACTGGGGTGCCTGGCCAGTCTGGGTGAGGGGCTGAGGGCTGTTTTCCGGCTGGCCAGTGACTAAAGCTTCCAACCGCTCCTTGTTTTCTTCTCTCTTTTTTTTTTTTTTTTTGGCCAGCTTTAGCTCTGGGGCCTTGCTGCTGAAAACATAGATACAATGTTGAGGTCTGAGCCCGGCTGAATGGAAGCCCTTTTCTGGGGTTTTGTTTAGCTTCTTATTTGCAACATAGTATATAGTTGCTTAGAGTTGCAACTGAGAGGCTGGCAAGTTAGGCGGAGAACGTTGGAATCTGCAGCAAGCAAGCCTCCCTGCTCGCTTCAGTGCCTGGCTGCCGGCCGCCATCTTGGCTGACAGTTAATTTGCATATACTCACTGATTAGCCAATGAAAAGGGTAGCGGTCGTACGCCAATTACCATGTTTCTCTTTTATTAGTGTAGATTGTGTCTCTTAATCATCATATTTTTTTAATGCATTTCAAAATATATTACATATATCAGAATACTTTCCACTAAATACTAAAATTAACCAGAAATTAACATATTTATAATTTTTTCTTTTAAGGTAAAAGTTACAAAAAATAAAATGTACAAATCATAAATGTACATGTGCTGAGTTTTGACAAATGTCTACCCCGGTGATTCCTTTCAAGGTAAGACATTGCCATCACCCCAGAAAGTTACCTTTTGCCTCTTCATAGTTAGTTGCCATCACTCCCCCAAGAAGTAATAGAAGATATCTAAACATTTCTTTATCTATTAAAGCAATTAAATCTGTAAGTTAAAACTTTTTGTCATAAAGAAAACTCTGGGCCCAAATTGGTAATTTCCAAATAGTAATACCAATCCTACAAAAACTTAGAAAATAGAAAAAAGAGGAAACAGTTTCTGTAGTAGCTTTGTAATGTATCCAGTTGACTAGGCCAAATTACATTTTCAAAAATTTCCTTCTCTTTATCTGTACATTTCTCTCTCACTCCTGGGGTAGGTGTGGATGTAGTTCTCTGATAAAGGGAATTAGCTGTCCCTTCAGATATGAGTTTGTCTGCCCTCATTGGTTTCAACTTGTGCTTGTCCTTGCTCTTCCCTACTTTACATCCATCTTGCCTTCCCAACTCCCTGCCTTGTGGACTCCAGCATCAGATGGGACAATCTTAGGGAGACTGATTACTTGGCTTACACAGTTGCCTGTGATCAAATCCCGTGACAAATAGTGTATGCATCTGTTTGTATGTGTGTATATGTGAGTGGTTCTGCTTTTCCTGATTGCATTTTTAAAAATATATTTTTTATTGTTTTGTTTTTTTTGTTTGTTTGTTTGTTTTTTTAGAGATGTTTGTATGTGTGTATATGTGAGTGGTTCTGCTTTTCTGATTGCATTTTTAAAAATATATTTTTTATTGATTTTTTTTTTTTGAGAGAGAAACATTGATGTGAATGAAACACTGATTGGCTGCATCTCGCATGCCCCCTACTTGGGAAGGAGCCCCCAACCCAGGCCCATGTGCCCTGACCGGGAATTAAACCAGCAACTTTTTGGTGCATGGGATAATGCCCAATCAACTGAGCCACACCGGCCAGGGCTCTGCCCCGGGGACTCCCTGCTGACCCCAGAAGCACAAGCTATAACATGAAGGTTGTGTGTGTGTGTGTGTGTGTGTGTGTGTGTGTGTGTGTGTGTGTTACGCAGCATTATTGTAGCAGTAGATAACTGATACAAATGTCCTACATGCTTGTACCTCCCTCTTGACACTTCAGCCTTTCTGTTCCTGCAATATGCTGAGGTTATTTTTGGCTCCAGATCTTTGCCTTGTTCCCTCTGTCAGGAGGAGCATCTTCCTGTTACTTGTATGGAGCTCAAATATCATGATTCTGACTGTGCTTTTTTGATCCCACTGCCGAAAGAGCCCCCTTCCCAGTCATCCCCTATTCCATTTCACTCTTTTTTAAAAAATATATATTTTATTGATTTTTTACAGAGAGAAAGGGGGAGGGATAGAGAGTTAGAAACATTGATGAGAGAGAAACATCGATTAGCTGCCTCCTGCACACTCCCTACTGGGGATGTGCCCGCAACCAAGGTATATGCCCTTGACCAAAATCGAACCTGGGACCCTTCAGTCCACAGGCCGATGCTCTATCCACTGAGCCAAACCAGTTAGGGCTCCATTTCACTCTTAATTTTCTTCACTGTGCTTTTTCTAAAATTCTTTTATTTGCATACATTTATTGTCCATCTTCCCCAACATCCATAACGGTAGGGACTTTGTTTCCCTTTTTATCTCCGGCATCAAGAACAGAGTCTGGCACATAGTAGACTTTCAATACATAAGAGAAAATGTATGCATAATTTCTTGTTAATCAAGAGGACAGCACAAGGTATGATAGGTTCCAGAATATGATATAGAGCATTGTGTTAATTTCCCGGGGCTGCTGTAACAGATTACTGTAAACTCAATGGCATGAAATAACAGAAATGTATTATTCACACTTCTGGAGGCCAGAAGCCTGAAATCCAGCCGTAGACAGGGCCACATGTCCTTCAGAGTCCCAGGGGAGAATTCTTCCTGGCCTCTTCAGCTTCTGGTAGCTGTTAGCTTTGTGGCTCGGTCTCTCTCTCTCTCTCTTTCTCTCTCTCTCTCTCTCTCTCTCTCTCTCCTTTGTCTTCACATAGTCTTTCCTGAGTCTTTCCTCTGTGTGTGTCTCTTATATCTCTGTCCCACCAGGATAACATAGAATACCCTCTTCATCTCAAGATCTGCCATTTACTCACATCTACAAATAAGGTATCACTCACAGGTTACAGAGATTTGATGTGGATACTCACGGGAGGGCGGAAGGGGGGGCCTATTTTTTGGCCTGGAGCAAGCATAGATATCATCAGCTCTAGCATGTGGGAGGCAGGATAGCATAGTTTAGGATCCTGTGCTGTGGAGCCCATGTCTGGGTTTGAATTGCTGTTTTGCCTCTTATGGTGTGCACATGCCCATGTTATTTAACTCTGTACTTCTTTTCTCTCCTACAAAATGCAGATAAAAATAGTAGCCATTTCAAAAAGTTGTTGTAAGAATGGATATGTATGCCCTCAGTAGTTCCTAGGACGTAGGACATAGTAAGTGTTCAATAAATATCATTACACTTATCAAGCGACACTGACTGAGCATTCCTATGGGCCAGGTTTTGTCCGAAGTACATTTCCTGCCTTAGCTGGTTTCATCCTCACAAAAACCCTGTGATAGAGACTAAGCCACTTGTTGAAGGTCATACAGCTAACAAATGCTAGAGGTGAGGTTCAAACCCAGACATGCCATCTCAGGAGTCTGTGCTCTCAACCACTTCATATACAGCCTCTCTGGGTGTTGCTGCTATTGTTTTAAAATCATTTCTGTGAGATTTCTGTTGGCATTTCCTGAAAAAAACCACAGGTTTCTGGGTCACATGTGGACCACACAGCACAAACCATGAATCTTTATAGCTTTGATTTAATTTGACCTCCTTTTGATAATAGTTGATTAGTCAAGA